TATAAGCACAAAATGACTCCTTCACCCCACCATATCGATAGTACACACATTTGTCAGCTTCATTCACAACAAAGCCAGCAAATGTTAAAGTTCTGTCGAACTTCTCATGCCACTGATTAGGAGCTTGTTTCAGGCCATATAATGACTTTAATAACTTACACACCTTGCCTTCCTGATCATTTGCTACAAACCTATCAGGCTGATCCATATAGATCTCCTCCTCCAACTCTCCATTTAGGAAAGTTGTCTTAACATCCATTTGATGAACGATAAGACCATAAGAGGCTGTCAGGGAAAGCAAAACTCGAATTGTGGTCAACCGGGCAACCGGTGAATAAGTATCAAAGAAATTCTCACCTTCCTTTTGAGTATAGCCCTTGGCCACAAGCCTTGCCTTGTACCTCTCAATAGTACCATCAGGCCTAAGCTTTTTCTTGAACACCCATTTGCACCCTATAGGCTTGCACCCATAGGAATAATCAACAATTTCCCAAGTTCCATTAGACATAACAGAATCCATCTCACTTCGTACTGCTTCCTTCCATAAGTCAGCATCAGGAGAGGAATATGCCTCTTCAATGGTCGTTGGTGTGTCATCCACAAGGTACACAATATAGTCATCACCAAAAGACTTTGCAACCCTCTGTCTCTTGCTTTTCCTGGTGACTATAGTGTCATCCTTCTCAGGATTTTGCACATAGGGTTCCTCAATTTATTCTTTCGGAATAAAATTTTCATGCTCATGGGGAAATATAAATTTATGACTAGTTGTGCTAGGTGCATTTTTCATGGGAAACTCATTCTCAAAAAATGTTGTGTCTCTAGATTTCATGATTGTATCAATAGCCATCTCAGGAACACTAGAGTTTATAATTAAAAATATATAACTCACGCTGTGAATAGCATAACCAAGAAAGACACCATCAACAGTTTTTGGTCTAAGCTTTAGCTTTTTGTTTATTGGCACATTCACCTTTGCCAAACAACCCCAAGTTCGCAGGTAAGAGAGATTTAATCTCTTCTTCTCCCATTCCTCGAATGGTGTAATTTCTTTGTTCTTTGTGGGCACTCTATTCAGGACATGACATGCTGTCAAAATAGCCTCACCCCACCATTCCTTAGATAGTCCCGCAGCCTTCAACATGGCATTAACCAAATCAGTTACAGTGCGGTTCTTTCTCTCTGCAATCCCATTGGACTGTGGTGAGTATGGTGGCGTCCTCTCATGAATAATTCCATGCACCGCGCAAAACTCAGAAAATTCATTTGAGAAATATTCTCTCCCGCGATCGAACCGCAAACGCTTGATTTTCTTCTCAAGTTGATTTTCTACCTCAGCTTTATAGACTTTAAAATAATGCAACGCTTCATCTTTTGTTTTTAATAAATACACGTAGCAAAATCTAGTGCAATCATCTATAAATGTTATGAAGTATCGTCTACCACCTTTAGTCAATTCGTCATTCATTTCGCATATATCGAAATGAACGAGTTCTAACGGTGCCAAGTTCCTTGCCTCAGCAGCCTTGTGGGGCTTGCGTGGTTGCTTTGATTGCACACACATCTGGCACTTAAAATCTTTGACTAAGTTAAATTTCGGGATTAAATTCAGATTTGCAAGCCGCATGAGACAGTCAAAATTAATATGATAAAGTCGTGAATGCCAAATATTCGACTCATCCGAAATATTAACATTGTTCACCACTTTATTACACATATCATCAAGCAAAGATAAGCGGAACAAGCCTCCACAATCATAATATTTTCCAACAAATGTTCCATGTCTCGATACAACACATTTATTGGACTCAAGCACAATTTTAAAGCCATCGCAACACATCTGAGAAGCGCTAACAAGGTTCTTTTTGATGGAGGGGACATGCTGCACGTTCTTCAATAGCACCGTCTTTCCTGAAGTAAACTTCAGAACGAGTGTACCAGCACCAAGAACACACGCATACGAACTGTTTCCCATCAGGAAGGCTCTAGTTCTGCCGGCCTGATAGAAAATAAACAAAGAAACATCAGCACACACATGAATATTAGCACCACTGTCCATCCACCACTCAGGTGAAAGACAAACTGAAAGAACAAAGGGTAAAGAATTACCATACTCATATGTTCCTCCTCCAATCTCACTAATTATCATGTTTGCTGATTTTTTTTCTTGCTTATATTTGCGGCCTGGGCACGCACTTGCCCAATGCTCATCACTCCCGCAAACAAAGCATCCTCCACCTTTCTTGTTGTTTTTCTTCTTGAACTATGCAGTCTGCTTAGGCTTTGCATTGTTGTTCTCTTGCATGTTCTTCTTCTTTTTATTATGAGATGCAAATGAGTTTTTTCTTCTACACCATATTGGCAGCGGAAGACTCAACTCTTTTTCCACGGTTGTCTTTTGCTCTCGCCCTCTCCTCAACATCAAGAGATCCAATAAGCTCAGCCACGCTAAACTCTTGTCTCTTGTATTTTAGAGAAGTAGCAAAATCCCTCCAAGAAGGTGGCAGCTTAGCGATTATACCGCCGGCCATAAACTTGTCAGGCAATAAACATGGAAAATGTTCTAGTTCCTTCGCTAGCGCTTGTATCTCATGAGCCTGTTCGACCACAAAACGGTTTTCAACCATTTTATAGTCATACAGCTACTCCATTAGGTACAACTCACTGTCAGCATCAGAAACCCCAAACTTTGCCTCAAGAGCATCCCATAATTCTTTGTCTGATGTGCAAGATATGTAGTTTTTCTCATACTTGGGATGAAATGCACTAATAACGGCGCCTCGAAACAGGTTATCGGCAGCCAAGAACTTTCGCTCCTCCTCAGGAGTAAACTGTTCAGGCTTCCCCTGTGCGGCGTAATTGCAGTTCATCGCAGTCAACCACAACACCATCTTTGCACGTCATATCATAAAATTATTGCCATCAAAATTATTCGGCTTCAAAGCGGCAACAAATCCACTGACAGAAAATTACCTATTATTAGGTTTTTAGATTGTTAGATATTTAGACATTTTCATTATCAGTTTAATCCAGAAATATAACATCAGCAGGTTTGTGACGGCATATATGTGCATGTGTATATTTCTTATGAACGCTACAGCATGCATAGATGACATACAGATCGATACAGTATAAATACAAAATACAGTAATCACAGAGATTAGACTGTACCCAGTGGAGGGTCCCATGCTGAGGGCATCGGAGGCTCCATTCGCACTAGTCGACATAGTGCGTTGCTCGAAGTCGCGGACCACAGTCGATGCAGGAAGATGTTCATAGTGTAGTCCCATGAATGGATCACCAGGAAGAAGACGCCTTGTCGTTTCAGGGAGAAGACGGATCCAAGAGCAATCTCCAGCAGGAAGAAGATGGACGAGCAGTCACGGATTGCTCCCCAAAAACCTAATCACCGCGCACCCCGTGCAAGGTTCTCCAGTGGACGAGGGTTCCGGAGGCACCTGCTCTCCCGCTACTCCGTGCGCGCAGAGGAACGGGACAGAAAGACCGAGGGCTGCGGAAGTGTGGATCTCGAGCAGTTCTGCGGAAGACAAGATGCGGACCGACGGAGGACGGATATATGGCTGCGTCCGGGAAGGAGACGAAGACAACGGAGAATCCCGGAGGAGACGGAAGCGGAAGCGGAAGGGACGATAATCGACGCAGTAATTCGCCTCCACCATCAAGGAGCGAAACTCCTGTGATAATGTGGATTTAAGTGACAAAAAAGGCGGCCACGCCCCCCGCCGCCACGGCCTCGGCGCCCGCGCACGCCACGCGGTCCGGGCGCGCCGCCGGCGGCGGCGGGCGGCAAGGCGTGTACACGACTTTATCTTTTCTCGGCTTCTCAATTTAGATGAATAATTTCCAACCATATAAGCTGAGTCAACGTTCAGTAAAAATCCCGTATGGTCTATACAACACTTAACATTACGTAACATAGAGTTTTATTTGATTTATTAAATACTATATGGGTCAAGCCCATATTATATCCAACAGAAACATCCCCAAACTGAAAAGGACTCATCTCGATCAACCGATCTCTGTCATACACATTCTTGAACCTAACGAAAGCTTGCCCAAGGTGTGTTGGCTGCATGTCGGTGAACTCCACATGCTAACCATTTGTCAAGAAATCTGCCACAACATCGCTAATATTGTGAAAGGTTACCTGATGCGGCGGCATCGGGCGAATGGTGGCGATAGCCAGATCATGATTCTTGGCTCTTGGATGCATCAACACCACTCGCTCCATCGGCTTACGAGCTTGAACCTCAATGCAGTTGAGGCCACGGGGGATGAAGGGAGTAGGGTCGGCGCGGAGATAGTCCATCTGCGACCCCGCAACACCGAGCTCTGCAGGTTGAGGGAGAGGAGAATTGGGGTTTTCTGGGAGAACAGTGCAGTGCTCAGTCACCCGCGGTGAATTGTGGAGACTCCAATGTATATTGTGTATAGCATGAGAAGCTGAAGAGCCAGCGTAGGAATCAAGAAAGCCTGAGAACCGCGGTGGGCTTGAAGGGCCCGCTGTCATTCTCGCTGGGTTGAACCAGTTAGCGCAATCGAAGCAGGCATGGCCTCACCCAAAGCATTTGTCACATTTAATAGGGGCTCTGCGTGCACTCCTTGGGTGGGAAGAGGAATGACAACGCCAGCATAGCACAGTAGCCGAAGGGGCCAAGTCAGTGGGAATCCCAGAGTCATTATGAGCCAGCCCCAAATTCAAATCTAAATTCCAACCACCAGAATGAGAATCCTGCCGTTGAGTTGAGGGATGAACTGGAGGAAGAATAGAGTTACTCAGCATCTCAGTAGCTGCACTTTGATGAACACTGAAAACCGGCTTGACAGAGCTCGAATTCTTCACAGATTTGCCTGAATCCCAGCTCAGCCGATCAAAAACCGATCGCCTTGGGAACTGGATACGATCAAACACAGACTTGCGATGAACTTTAGAGACTTGCTTCTGCTTGGAGGATGACCGGGAACGCAATGGAATTTTGTTAGCACCCGAGAGGGGCGGCTTCTGAACAGCTCAGCATATGAAGGTTTCTTGCCAACTTCTTCCCAAGGAAAAACCAGTGAACAGCTAATATGGGACCAAGAAAAGAGAGACCAGAATCGTTGAAAAGCTGGAAGAACAGCTCAAACTCCACACATTTGAAGGCCCTCAGCTTGTAAATTTCGAAGCCAGTCTCTTTGCAAGAAACAGAGAAGAGAAAAATCCTCTCTTCCACCAAGCACACATTGAAGGAGTCCACAGGTCCTCCGAGGATAGCACTGAGGGACTGCGCAACAAATGACTCCTCAAGGCGGAAGCGGCATCTACCGAAAGCCACCAAAAGGGAGAAAGCACCATGTACCGGAGATGAAGAAGAGACCGGCCGGACAAACGAGCGGAGGACAAAGGCGGCGAACCTCTCGCCCTGAGCCGCCTCAGAAAGGGAAAGCAGCCCAGTGGAGACAGCCATTGCAGGGACAGAAGGAGCAGGGGGAGCAGGGAGAGGAGGAGGGGCTCACCAGACGGGCGCGGAAGGGGGTGGGGGCGGGCGCGGAGTTCCGGCGAGGGGGTCACCGGGGTAGGGGCGCCGCCGCGGCCGCCCCAGAAGGGGGGAGAGGGGACTCACGAGTTCCTTTCATCTCCTTTCACAATTAAATTAGTTAATCTCCGTATCCGATCGACATCGATCACTCACCGAGAAAGTACCTTGGAATATGAATGTAACTGTATCATTTTTTTTTGAGAAAACCTATATATTATTGGACAAAGGCCCACTTGTTAATCTTGATGGAGATGTTGTTGGCATGAACTTCTACGATACGAGAATAGGAACCCCTTATCTAGCATGGGAGGACATTTTGACAATTCGAAGTTGGTTTGATACAAAAAGGTATCCAAGTGCACATCACATATGTTGTTTTCCTGTCACATTTAAAGAAACTTGCTGAAGCAGGTCGAGTGAACTATAATCTTTTTATTGCTATGTCTGACAGTAAACCTGGTGAGGTTGGCTATAGGCATCCCTCTGGTGTCTGGTGCACCTTTCTGGGAGGTAGTTGGAGATGAGAAAACTGTGTTAAACAGGTAGGTATTCACATGCATGTTGAAAATAATACTAAGATGGAGTTAAGTTCTGGACATATAAACTATTTTATTCGATTGAACTACAGGTGGCCTGTGCCTATGCCACACTGGCGCCATCCTGACTTTGTGGACGAGGATAAATCTGATGATGAGTTCATCTCTGAACCCAAATCTCGCCGCAGGAGGAAATACACTTACACGATGGGAGTTAAAGAAATGCTTTATTAGTCTTACGATCTCCATATCATTGCTAGTTTGAGATGGCTGAAGTAACCTGTACTACGCGGCTTGCCGAAGCCTAGTGATATGTGCTGCGTTTGTAGCTTGAATTAATTATCTGGTTCCATTTTGACTTGTTGAGTGGCAGCATGCACGGGTAGTTTAAGTTTATTACACTATCGTACTCGTTAAGAACAACTAATTAGCTGCCTGGGGTGTTATGTTTTGAATACTGTTTTGGGCACAAATCAATGTTCCGTGTGTTATATGCGTGCCTTATGGCTGGTTCCTGTTATGTTTTATGCCCTGTGAATGATATGATTCAAAGTACTAGTGGGCATTCCTCCTTGTCGGCATCAGCATCGGACAATGGCATCAGTTCGGTCATTGATCTGTCAGAATCAGCCTGCTGCAAGAATTTTTGGGTCACATGCTCAGTATTCAGTCAAATTTCTCGAGCTAACTAGTCAGGATTTCCTCTCCGTTCCTCGCTTCGATCCATGGATTTTTGTTACTTGTGATAACCTTGCACGCATAGATGGCCATGCAGCCTGAGCCCGTCGACCCAGCCCGAAGGAGCATGCCGTGCCTAGGCCTTACCCCAGGCACGTGGGCCGGCATGGCACGGCCTGCTACAGAACAGCCGGCCCGCTAGCGGCCCGGCCTACCGCCTCCCCCCGCGCCCGGCATATATAAGCGGCTCGTCCCTGTCGCCACGCCTCGCCCGCTCCGCAGTCTAGTCGCCTCGCCCCTCGCCCGCTCCGCTCCGCTCTCAACCCTAACCCTAATCCCCACTCGCTCGCCGCGGCGTAGCCGATCCCCGCTCGCCCAGTCGCCTCGCCGGCGGCCGGCTCCGCAGTCCGCTCCCAACCCTAACCCTAATCCACACTCGCTCGTCGGCTCGCCGCGACGCAATCTCTATTCTCTCTCTCTTTCTCTCGCCCGCATCGGTCGCATCCACGATCTGACGAATCTGAGCTCTCTCTTGTGATCTACTGATCTCGTCCGTTGTCCTCGACTCCGGTGACCTCGATCCGCCTATCTGACCCTGTCTCCACTCTCCTCCCTTCTCCCTCTCTCGCTCTCTCGCTCTAGGTGAACTATGTGAGTTCGTGACCGTGTTCCCGTCCGCCCCTCCTCCGCCGTTCGCCATCGTTTCTAATCGGTCTCTCTCCTCTAAGTGGGCCCTCGTCATCTCCGGCAGACGGGCTCCGGTTCGCGTAGGTACTCCACTAACCCTAACCTTAACTCTAACCCTAACCCTAGATCTGCTCGCTCCACTTCTTGTATCTCTTCCATCGAACGCATCGTGGATCTGTGCCTCTATCTCTCTTACTCTCTGTTTTTTCTCCTCCGTGCGTGTCGGTTGTCGATGCCTCGTTGTCCTCTTCCCGTGGCATATAGACCGGGCACATGGGTCGCAAGACCGTTGAGGAGCGGTCTTTGGAGATCACCGTCATGATCCAAGGTCGCCATGGCGGATGACGACGATGTCGTCTATCCACTCACCGCAACGATGACCGATCGCGCGTGGTCGCTGCTCCTGTGAGGAGGACGACGACGACATCCGTGACAACGCCGCCGCATTGTTGGGTATCGATGTCGGTAGCGGCTCGCTCCGCTCGATCCGGACGGTGGCGACGGTGGTGGAGGGCGGAGCCGGGCGCTTCGGCGACGGCGCACGCAGCGAGGGACGCCGGTCGGCTCCAACAAAGCACAGATGGCACCTCATGCCTTGGTAAGCGTAAATCTGGTGTCTGGGTTGATTTTATGAGATCTATGAGACTGTGAATGGTCAAAAGATTTGAACTGCCGCTATCTGTAAAATGTGTAAGAGTAAATTGTCTGCTAGATCTTCTGCTGGCACTGGCCATTTGATTAGGCATCAGAGATCTTGTAGGAAAAAGGTCGATCATGTCGCTACGGTTCGCCTAGGCTTTCTTTCAATCTCGATGGATCTCGTGCATAATCGGGACTACAATCCTCATTGTTGTTTCGCTCCCGAGTTGTGTAGGTTGATTGCTAGGCTTGACCTTCCATTAAGTATAGACGAGTCACATGCATGGGAGGATTACATTGTTCTTGCTCATAACCCTAGGTTTGCCAAGGTTTCTAGATAGACCACCACTAGAGATCTTGGTAAGCTATTTACTGAACGCCGTGATAAGCTTAAGAATTTTATATTGCCTGCTGCTTCTTTTGTTGCTTTGACTTCAGACATTTGGTCTGGTAAGGATAAGGAGGACTATATTAGTGTTGTTACTCACTATGTGAATGCTGATTGGGAGTTACAGAAAATGGTTATTGGTCTTAGGCTGATTGAGGTTAAACATTCTGGTGAAAACATTGCTGAAAGAATTGTCATTTGGTGGTTGAGGAGTATTGTCTGATTGACAAGATTTTCTCTATCACTCTAGACAATGCTTCTTCTAATACTAAGGCTATGAACACTTTGACACCTCTATTTACTTGTTACTTGGGTCTTGATCCTTCACCGATCTTTTGGATCCTAGTAACCGTAAGTCTGATCTTGTACATCAACGTTGTGCTTGTCATATCATTAATATCATTGTAAAATCTGGATTAAAGAGATCGAAACCTTACACAGAAAATTTTAGAACTGCAATTAACTTCTTAAATTTCTCTAATCAAAGAATTGCATTGTTCAAGGAATACTGTAATGCTAAGGATGTTAGACCTAGAAAGTTTGGCTTGGATATGGATGTGAGATGAAATTCTACTTACCTGATGCTTAAACACTTGGTTCCATACAAGAACGTCTTTTCTGTGTTTATTAATTTCCATTATGGTTCACAATTGTTGACTACAAATCATTGGTATTTTGCTGAGAAGTTACTAGAGTTCCTGAAACTCTTCTATGACTCCACTGTTGTTCTGTCTGGTGTTTATTATCCTACAAGTCCACTTGTTCTGCACCATATCCTAGAGATCGCTTCTCATTTGCATGCATGTGAAAAAGATCATAATCTGAGAGCTATTGTATATCATATGAAGCTTAAATTCCTTAAATATTGATAGGACATACCTCTATTATATTTATATGCATTCATTCTTGATCCTAGAGCTAAGATGAGAGGTTTCTTTAATGTGCTGCAATTACTTGGTGAATACACTGGTTCTGAGTACAGTTCATACTATGCTGATGTCAAAATTGAATTGTATAAACTGTTTAACAAATATGAGAGCAAGTTTGGTACAGCTAGGTCTTAAATGGTTGCACAACCATCACATCATACAGGTAAGAAAAAGCAAGCATGGGGAAAAAATTTTGGCCGTGGATCAGGTGTTGTTGGTCCTTCCCCTCTCCCTCCCTGCTACTTCATCTTCATCTACTTCTGTTGTTTGTGAGCTCTCAGCTTACTTAGACAGTAACAATGTTATTTCTTATGAGGATGATTTTGACCTACTTCTGTGGTGGCGTGACCACAAGCTAATCTTTCCAATCCTGTCTATAATGGCTAGAGATATCATATCAGTTCTTGTATCTACTGTCTCTTGGGAGTCTTGTTTCAGTTTAACAGGTAGGATAATTGAGGAACGGCGGCGGCGCTTGTCACCAGAGACTGTGGAGATGCTGAACTGCTTAAAGGATTGGGAGTTAGGAGAAAAAAGTGAACAACATGCTGTTGACAACCAAAAGCTTGAAGACTCATTCCAGAACTTGTACCTTGATGAAGATGGACCTGCTGGTGGTGCTCCTGGTACTTAGTGAGGTACTGAGGTTGAGACTTGACTCCTGAGGGTGTGTGTGATCTGTGACTGTGAAAGGGTGTGTGTGACTGTGAAAGACTTGTCTATCATTTGAACAATAGTTAATTAAGAGCTGGCTGCACTCTTTTTTTCTTTCTAGGATTTCTCACAAGGGTGAATTTTACCTAAAAATGTTTTTAATGAGACAACATTGCACTTAACAGTTTATTTTGGTTATTTCTGTTATTTGTCGGCTTTGGAGTTTGGAGTTTGATATCTCTATTGGACTGTGAATGTATCGGTCTATCGAACATTTGGACTTTGATTCTGTGAATGTATGAAACTGTGATCTATGAATGTATCGGACATTTGGACTTCGATTCTGTTGAATGTATGGAACTGTGAATGTATCGGGCATTTGAAGTTTTGGGCTTTGATTCTGTGAATGTATGAAAC